TTGCCTGAGAGAGTGGTATCCCAGGAGCTGGTACTCATCCTCCTCTGCTGCTGGTTAATTAGCCGTCTTCTCCCCAGAGAACCGTTCTCTGTTTGACCTTTTCTGAAGGTAAGACATGTTCAACAGACCACAGGAAATGAGGTGAATGAAAAAGGTTTGCAGTGGTAAGTTTTGTGCATGTTTCTGTGTCTATTTACAGTAATCATGTATGTTCTTCTTTAATAGGAAACTTTTGATTGGTTCAGTGCACTTTGCCATTTGCATTGCATCCGGCATGAGAAAATTGGAGACACTGAAGTATTTTGAGAAATGCACCACAATTCATCCGCAAAGGCGATAACTGTTTCTTTTTTTTTTTACATCTTTTAAATCGAGAGAAATAGCTTGAAGTATCCGACGATTCACAGTGACAGCTTCAGGAAAAAAAAAAAAACCCTGGGTACTGATGACATATTCAAAAGGTGCATCGATGCAGATAGGGGTTAGCTTGCATGCTATTTTAGTATTTAATGAGATTTCCTCTGTAGGGGTTACAGGCTGCCAGGTTTCGAATTATCCAACAGAACGTCTGTTCTTCTCATTGTCCATTTGAAAAAAAGTTACATGCTCATTATCTGCCAAGGCTTTGGCTCATTAAGGGGGACAAGAAGATGTCTACATAAGTACTTTAAATCTGTCCCCCAAATGTACGGAGTCGTATTGGAGAAATCAAACATCTTAGTAAGAAACAAGGCAAGGATCTGTTGCTCTTGGAAATGTCAAGTAAGGCAAGAGAATTTTAGCTTACCTCGAAAATCGTATGCAGCTAACTTTAAATATTCTAATACTGTAGGTCGTTTGAAATAAAGATTCTTTATTAATATTCTGCTTTGCTCAGTTTAGTGTTCTTAAAGAGGATATATCCCAATTTCACGTTTTTGATTATGATCATATTTATTATAAACACATCAATTTCTTAATGAAAAGTCTGGAAACTAGAAAAAAGAAGATTGTGTAAGAGTAATAGAGTGGATACCTAATAAACTGGTACCTCATCCAGGGATTTAAAAGCTCTTCCTGAAAAGCCCAGTTATTTTATTCACCTCAGTTATTTTATTCACCTTTATTCACCTCAGTAACTTATAACCAAAATATCACTAAATAAAAATATCACTAATAAAACACTAAAGTTCTGGCTTTGTCTGAGAGTAGATGTAAATTTTATCTCTAAAATTCTTACTCGTGTTCTTTTTCTCTAAACTGTATCACTAGAAAAAATATGGATGTATATTAATGAGTTTCAGCGGCTATCTAACTGCCATTAGTAAACACACTAGAATAATGTTTTAAGAGAGAAGAAACATTGCATTACCAAACAACAAAAGCATTTTTTAAACATGAGTATTTACCAATAAACATTTTTCTCACAAATAATCCTGGGGGGTTTGCCTGTTGAATTCCTGCTTCGGCTATTTCTCGCATCCACATCAAGAACTGTGTGTTAGGAACTGCACTTAGGTTGTTTCTTTCCTTAAGTAAATCTATAAAAATGTCTTCAACAGAGAGAGAGAGAGAGAGAGAGACTTTCTAATGGGGGTGTAGAAATTTATCCTTTAAAATCTTCTGTCCTAGATCTCCTTCCTTCCTTCCTTCCTTCCTTCCTTCCTTCCTTCCTTCCTTCCTTCCTTCCT